GTACAAGGGGAAAGAGGGTTGGATTGGGACAAGGGCCAGTAAATCAATGTCCTGGTCAGCAGCCAGCCTAGCATTGGGCTGGTGGGACACCTGACCTGCTCACCTTCTCCTCTCCTCCACTTGGCAGGGTGGAGTCATGGCTCTGCAGATCAACTGGAACTGCAACCTTGACAGAGCTGCTTCCCACTGTGTGCCCAGGTACTCCTTCCGGCGCCTCGACAACAAGGACTCTGCCCACACTGTCTCACCTGGCTACAACTTCAGGTAACGTGGCCAGAGGGCACCTGGTGTCCCTGCAGCTCAGCCCTTCACTGCAACAGCATGACAGGCTGCCCAGACTCCTCCCCTGGCAGCTATGATAATCCTTGGACTTTGGGTGGTGCTGTAAAACTTGGGAGAGTTTCTCTCGTGCTGTAAACCAAAGAGCAGGTGGGATTCCCACTGTGCAAACCACAGCAGAGGGGGTGGGTCTGTGACACTCCACTGCTGGTGTCAGTGTCTGAGTCATATTTGCATCAGCACCTGGGTGACCATTTGGGCCAACCTCCCATGCGTGGCACAGAGACCTGATTCAGGGGCTGCTGATGGGGCAGTATTTTAGGGGGCTGGGGTGATGGGTGGAAGGCTGAAGCACCTCCTTTGCTGTGCATGAGGGAACAGCTAAGCTTTAGAAAGTGGCTCTGTGGGTTGAAGACCTTATCTGCAACTTGAGTGTCCTGGCATACACCACATAAACATTCTGGCCAATAGAGAGAGAGGTCCAGCACCTCCAGTGAAACTGCTGGTGCAGAGTTGGGTAGCTGGCTGCATCCAGGCTCTGAGGAAAAACAGCTCCGGGCTATGCATGTTTCTAGAATCCTAGACTCTTAGGCCAGGGATGTCTTTTGGTGGAACTTGAATGAATTCACTGAGAAGCTGCTGTTCTGCAGACAGCACAGGCATCTTTTGGGATGTGCTGGGCCTGCAGGTGTCGGGGTGTCAGGTGAGACCAGCTGAAGGGGGTCACAGCCTGCCTGGTGTGGGGTCTGAAATGCTCTTGCAAATTCTAGACCGTGGTGCAACCCCTTACCAGTCCTTCCTCTTTTCTTCCACCTTCTTCTCTGCTTCCTCCTGGCTTAGTCAACCATGTGGCAGAGTAAGTCTGATCTCACTTATTTATTCTCATCCTTTTTCCTTGTCATCAGCCTTCGAGGAACAAGGATCAGCCTTTGTGTGCCAGGCTGCGCTGTGCTGCTTGCCTCCCTGCCTTCTCCCTGCCCTGCCCTCTCCTGGCTGCCTGCACTCCTGCAAGCCTTCTGCTCGACTTTGAGGAGGCCGATTCTTACGTGTAGTTGAATTTCTTCCTGTCTGCCCTTCTGCTCCTCTACTCAAGCTGACTTTTTCCCCTTCCTATGCCTTGCAAGTTTCCTGGTGTGGCTTGTACTAGCTGCTGTCTTAAATTCGCCCGTTTTGGGCTTTCCTCCTGTGTGTGTTTGCCTGCATGAAGTCTGCTACGGTTTAGGGCTTGTCTCTGAAGGTACCAATGTTCAGCCTATCCTTTTGGGGTGGGGTGCACACTTGGATGTTGCATGATCATATTAGCAACCTCAACAGTTCCAGCTAAGCTCTGACCTGTCCTTTCTCCAGGTTTGCAAAATACTACAAGGATAGTAATGGCACAGAGTCCCGGACACTTGTCAAAGCTTATGGGATCCGCTTTGATATCATAGTGTTTGGAAAGGTAGGGGGCTTTAATTCCTGGGGGGGTCTTGTGGTGAGGGGTGTCAGAGATGCTGAAAAACTTATTCACCCTGGTAACTGTCTCCTAGGCAGGAAAATTTGATGTGATTCCTACCATGATTAACATCGGCTCTGGCCTGGCACTGTTTGGTGTGGTGAGTGTCTGCACTTGGAATCAGCTCTGGGTTAGTGCCTTAAGTTCTGAGGGGTGTTGTCTGAGACTCTTTCCATCTCCTCTAGGCAACAGTGCTGTGTGACATTGTTGTTCTGTATTGCATGAAGAAGAGGTACTACTATCGGGAGAAGAAATACAAATATGTGGAGGATTATGAACTGGTAAGCATCAATGAAGGCAGAGTGGAGGCAAAGTTGTGTCTGATTCGGGAGAGATTCTGAAACAGGGTGTAGAAAGTCCACATGAAACAGGGGTTTTGAACCACAACTCTGAAGAAACCTCTGTCTTTGTCAGAGAAGCTAATTTTTACCTCAAAGCTGTTGCAGGAAGGAGCACTAGAAACAAATATTGTCGTTTCCTGGGCAGCCACTCTTGGAGACAGATATGTATGTTCAAGAACTTGTAATGCTCCCACTGCACCTCTTTTTCTGGGTTGCAGTCCTTGCCAGATGCCTTCTGAGAGCTGTAGACAACAGCTCTGTCCTCATCTAATCGGTTTTGGCTTTTGGGGGTTTCTGCTGCCATGAACAAACCCATTCATTAGGTTGATACTTTCCAAGACCAGTAGCTGACAGCTGCAGCTCTACCTCCCTTCGGGTTCCAAATGGTCTGTTTGGCCAGTAGAAGGATTTGGGGGGGTTGTCTGGTGCTGAGGGGCTCAGCCCTGCAGCCCCGTGCTTGGTGGGGTGTGTTGCTGCAGAGGGTGGATTTCTGAATCAAAAGACCTTGTGGCACTGGAAACGTGAAGTCTGAGTAACGGGGAGTAGCTTGTCTGTGCAGAGGGTTTGATGTGAGGGGGAGGGGGAGAAGAAAGTTTTCTGGCAGAGCCCTCTCATCTCTGATCCTTGCAGGGACTCAATGAGACGAACAGAACAAGCCCCTGACCTGCCACAGCACCCACTGCTGCTGTGAACATGACACTGACCCTGCCATGAGACTCACCCGCAGGAAGGGGGGAACAAACCTGAGAAAGGCACATTCTTCACTACTCTTTGCTACTTCAGTGGGCTGGAACCAACCCTAGAGAAAAGAGCTGCTCCTCATCTGCTGTCCTTCCAGGTTAATTGCACTAAGCACAAAGGGAGAGTTGTGTGTTTTATGCCAGGCCTTTCTGTGTTGTAACTCTGGGACAGGGACAGCTCTGGTCATTTTGACAGTCTTCCTTTCCCTGAGCTCACAGGGCAAGAAGCACACATTCTTGTGAACCTGGCCCTTGCCAGATGTTGCCTAACCTTGGGAGAGCAGCTCCTTGCTGTTGTCAATGACTTTTCCTTGCCCTGATGGATTGTGATGCTTAGCTAAGCCTGTGCCTGCTATTTATTGTCTCCAAGTTTCAGTGGCAAAGCAGAGTCTAGGTCCATTGTGCTATGATAAATAGCTTACAGATTTTTTCCTGTTTAGGACACTATACTTTCTTTTTAATAAAATATTACTCTCTGTCCTCTTGGAGTCCTGCATGCTGGGGTTTGCTTTGTTTTTCCCTCGGGCCTGTGAAGGTTAGAGTCAGCAAATTGTCTTCATTTTACATAGATAGCAACTGTTCCTGGAGAGCTGTCAACTGGGGCCTTTCCAAAAGTCCAGCACTCAATTCTGGGCATGTGAACAGCTCCCTTTGGATTAGGCAGGGGCTGGAGCCACTGTGGTCCCATCCTAGCCCAAAGTCCCCAGGAATGGCACAGCATCAGATGTTACTGACACAGGAAGGTGCTTTCAGACTCCTTTCCCAACAAGCAAACTCTTACATCTTGATAAAGACCACTCAAATAGGATAATGTTTCTGCTTGATCAACTAACTCTGGGTTTGGTTGCATGTCATTTATTTCAGTTTGTACAGAGAAGTTTGAACAGCTGTGTGGAAAAACACTTTTTCTTCTTCTTAGGTAATATAATTTAAAAGTGGTAAATACACAGTATTTAAACTTGATACACCTGATAAAGTTAAATGCATAATAAAGGGGTAGGAATGAAACACAAGCCTTGGTCATCAAACAAACAGTATAAAAATCAGCAATAGTTCAAGATCTTAGAAAAGAAACAGCTTGATTGCCTGATAGGTAGGAGAGGACCACCAAGAAAAACTACCCAAGACAAGAGGCCTGGTTTCCCCTTAGCACTTTCCTGTGTGCTTTCAGAACCACAAAGGCTTACACTCAAGTAGGATAATGTTTCTGCTTCATCAACTAACTCTGGGTTTGGTTGCATGTCATTTATTTCAGTTTGTACAGAGAAGTTTGAACAGCTGTGTGGAAAAACACTTTTTCTTCTTCTTAGGTAATATAATTTAAAAGTGGTAAATACACAGTATTTAAACTTGATACACCTGATAAAGTTAAATGCATAATAAAGGGGTAGGAATGAAACACAAGCCTTGGTCATCAAACAAACAGTATAAAAATCAGCAATAGTTCAAGATCTTAGAAAAGAAACAGCTTGATTGCCTGATAGGTAGGAGAGGACCACCAAGAAAAACTACCCAAGACAAGAGGCCTGGTTTCCCCTTAGCACTTTCCTGTGTGCTTTCAGAACCACAAAGGCTTAGGACCCAGCATTAAGCCCACAGTCAGCATTGGGCTTGCTTGAAAGGAAGGGAGTTGGGGAAATCAAGCTCTAGCTCAGTTCCAAGGCACAAGCAAAATGTTTACTTCACTGTAAGGAAAAAAAAAGCCAACTTGACTACTAAGGAATAGCAGCTAGGGAACTGAGCAGTTGTATGTACAGTACAGCTTCTCTAACAGGGCATGCATTTAGAGAGATGTTCCTCACACAGCCACGCTTTATGCTTTCAACAGAACTACTGGCCAGGGGAAAATAATCCACATGGAGTTTCTGTCAGAGCTGTGCCCTTGGCTGCAGCCCTCCCAGTCATGCTGGAGAGCACCTCAGGGAAGGGCTGAGCTTTTGGCTGCTTAGGAACCAGGCCCCTCAGACACTGCTCTGTGGTCAGAGCTGAGGCCCAGGGACTGTGGCTGGGCCTCGAGGAGCTGGCACAGCTGTTTCTGTTCAGAAGCTGCATCACACCTGGCAAACCTGTTTAGTAAATGTAAACTGTCTCACTAGGCACCCAACAAACCACAAACCCAAGATACGCAGCACAGGGCATGGGTACAACACACACCACACACGGTACTAACCACCTATAAAGAACCAGATCCCCCACCCCACCCCCCCTTTTTTTTTTTTTTTTACCTGTTTAGTAAATGTAAACTGTCTCACTAGGCACCCAACAAACCACAAACCCAAGATACGCAGCACAGGGCATGGGTACAACACACACCACACACGGTACTAACCACCTATAAAGAACCAGATCCCCCACCCCCCCACCCCTTTGGGTTTTTCCCGCAGCTGCGGGGCTTTGGCATAGCCAAACTGGGAGGAAAACAGTGCGTGTCCTATGGCTCCAAACTCCATAGTGCTGCTCCTAAACCACGACCCAGCATCACTGGCTTTGGAGAGAGATCAGCAGCACAATGTTTTGGGAATCAATGGTGATTCAGGGGGAGCATTGCTTCAAGTGACCAAAGATTGAGGGACGGTTTGTGTAGGCACCTGCGCACTCGCTGCTGCTACGCCGGCTTTAACAAAGACCCGTCCTGACCAGGAATCCCCAGGCCAGATCCAACTGCAGCAGGGCCAAGGACCTCAGAGCTCTGCTGCTTGCAGTGCCTGAGGTCAAGGAAGACTAGGGGACAGTCACTTCCCCAAGGCAGAGCATCCGGGGCCAGAGATAGCAGGCAGAGTTCCTGCCTTAACCAGAACACTCAGCTCTCTCCTGTTGCCTTTCTCCTCAGGGCAAAGAATGACACCTTAGCAGTCCCTGACATGCCTGGGACACTCGAGTCCTCCCCCTCTTTCAGGTTTCATTTTAAATGCCTCACTCGAGGTCACACAACCACATCAGACTGAAAAGAGGTCAGACCTTCCCCCCCCAGAGTCCAACACTCCATTTCTTGAAACAACTATACTTACCGTGACCCCTTTTCTCCAGCAAACCCTGACTTTTCTCCAGCTCACCCACACTCTGCCATTCTCCAGCTTTGAGCACAGAGAACTTGGGAAGGTGAGTCTGGACTCCAGAGTCTCTCTCACCACATGATAGATTATTATTTTTTTTACAAGCACCACAAAATAATCAGAGTAATCTGACTGAAGGTGAAAGAGCTCTTCATAAGAAACAATCCATGAAGGAGATATACACTTAATTTACTAACAAGCCTCTGATCCACAGGCATTCACAAATTACTGGTAATGAACTTGCAAAAGATACATAGCATTGGCCCCAAAATCCAGATTAAGAGTTTGGAAAACAAAAGTGTATTTGAAAATTACTAGCTAATCTAAGTATTTCAATAAGATCTTAAATTCTAAGCAAGCCCTAAATCTATACTTATAAAATAGCATAAGTTGTATTGTTTTTAATTGTAGTAAACCATGTAATGTACATGGAAGTGAAGGATTTTACCCTGAATTTTATATTTAATAATATATCTACCTAGATCAAGTAAAAGATTTAGAAACAAACTGTTGTTAGTGCTTCCTCTACTGTCCAAAACAAACATACAGCTAAACACCACCTTTCACTCCCATGTCTGCAGCAAAAGTAGTTCAGACTGAACTTAAGCCCTTAAATACCTTTTCCTTTCATACACTGAATATTCAGTTTACCAAGTCCTAGTCACACCAAGACCTTAGGAAAGGTGTTCATTACCTTGGAGGGTAATTAACCTCGCTTTCTGAACCGGAAGATGCAGTTGAACACAACTTGGCTCACAAAGGTAGGCATTCTTTAAAAAGCTGAAAAGGCAGGGTTTTGCTTTGTTCCCATGCAGCTAAAAAGATGTCCATTAAAAACAAAGCAGAACAACGAGGAACAGATGTGACATCTCCGGTGGGTCGTGACCTCTCCAAGTGCACACACATCGTTTGACTGTTGCCTCTTGGTAAAAGCTTCACCCTTCTGTGTGTGCCCACCAACTCCATGGTGGGCATCCAACACCCCTGGGGTGCTGGCTTCAGTCCCCAGAAGTTATTTGGCATTAAAACCAAATAAAAGCAGTTCCAAATGCATTATTTTTGTTTGTTTGTTTGATAACTGTTTCTCTTTTTTGCAAAGCACCCGCCGCTGCTCACCAGGGCAGCTCACCTCTCTGCTCTCAGCCAGCACCTTTTCCACAAGAAGTCAGCAGTCCAAGGGACCGGAGATGTTCAATGTTTATGGCAAGTAGTTGGATGTCTTAAAACATGCTGCTGGGGAAGCTCTGCATCCAGCACGGTACTGAGCCAGCGCCGCCGCATGCTGTGCTTGCTGTGGGCTCTGCTGCTGCTGCTCATCCTCAGCTGCACTTCCATCACGTGCCCCGGGCTGAGTTGCTCAACAGAGCCATAAAGTCAATGTTCATGAAAGAAGTTCCTCCTCTCCCACGTTGGGCAAGTCGTTGCACTTCAGATTATCTTCACTGCCTTGTTAGCACAAGTCCATTTACAAGGGTACAAGGACCACGCTGCCCACACACACACACATTCCTGCCTGAAAAATCCTGTTTGCAAAGGGGGAAGCAGGTGCTGCAGAAGTGCTGGCACCCAAATTCCCTGTTGGGTTTTTCCCGCAGCTGCGGGGCTTTGGCATAGCCAAACTGGGAGGAAAACAGTGCGTGTCCTATGGCTCCAAACTCCATAGTGCTGCTCCTAAACCACGACCCAGCATCACTGGCTTTGGAGAGAGATCAGCAGCACAATGTTTTGGGAATCAATGGTGATTCAGGGGGAGCATTGCTTCAAGTGACCAAAGATTGAGGGACGGTTTGTGTAGGCACCTGCGCACTCGCTGCCGCTACGCCGGCTTTAACAAAGACCCGTCCTGACCAGGAATCCCCAGGCCAGATCCAACTGCAGCAGGGCCAAGGACCTCAGAGCTCTGCTGCTTGCAGTGCCTGAGGTCAAGGAAGACTAGGGGACAGTCACTTCCCCAAGGCAGAGCATCCGGGGCCAGAGATAGCAGGCAGAGTTCCTGCCTTAACCAGAACACTCAGCTCTCTCCTGTTGCCTTTCTCCTCAGGGCAAAGAATGACACCTTAGCAGTCCCTGACATGCCTGGGACACTCGAGTCCTCCCCCTCTTTCAGGTTTCATTTTAAATGCCTCACTCGAGGTCACACAACCACATCAGACTGAAAAGAGGTCAGACCTTCCCCCCCCAGAGTCCAACACTCCATTTCTTGAAACAACTATACTTACCGTGACCCCTTTTCTCCAGCAAACCCTGACTTTTCTCCAGCTCACCCACACTCTGCCATTCTCCAGCTTTGAGCACAGAGAACTTGGGAAGGTGAGTCTGGACTCCAGAGTCTCTCTCACCACATGATAGATTATTATTTTTTTTACAAGCACCACAAAATAATCAGAGTAATCTGACTGAAGGTGAAAGAGCTCTTCATAAGAAACAATCCATGAAGGAGATATACACTTAATTTACTAACAAGCCTCTGATCCACAGGCATTCACAAATTACTGGTAATGAACTTGCAAAAGATACATAGCATTGGCCCCAAAATCCAGATTAAGAGTTTGGAAAACAAAAGTGTATTTGAAAATTACTAGCTAATCTAAGTATTTCAATAAGATCTTAAATTCTAAGCAAGCCCTAAATCTATACTTATAAAATAGCATAAGTTGTATTGTTTTTAATTGTAGTAAACCATGTAATGTACATGGAAGTGAAGGATTTTACCCTGAATTTTATATTTAATAATATATCTACCTAGATCAAGTAAAAGATTTAGAAACAAACTGTTGTTAGTGCTTCCTCTACTGTCCAAAACAAACATACAGCTAAACACCACCTTTCACTCCCATGTCTGCAGCAAAAGTAGTTCAGACTGAACTTAAGCCCTTAAATACCTTTTCCTTTCATACACTGAATATTCAGTTTACCAAGTCCTAGTCACACCAAGACCTTAGGAAAGGTGTTCATTACCTTGGAGGGTAATTAACCTCGCTTTCTGAACCGGAAGATGCAGTTGAACACAACTTGGCTCACAAAGGTAGGCATTCTTTAAAAAGCTGAAAAGGCAGGGTTTTGCTTTGTTCCCATGCAGCTAAAAAGATGTCCATTAAAAACAAAGCAGAACAACGAGGAACAGATGTGACATCTCCGGTGGGTCGTGACCTCTCCAAGTGCACACACATCGTTTGACTGTTGCCTCTTGGTAAAAGCTTCACCCTTCTGTGTGTGCCCACCAACTCCATGGTGGGCATCCAACACCCCTGGGGTGCTGGCTTCAGTCCCCAGAAGTTATTTGGCATTAAAACCAAATAAAAGCAGTTCCAAATGCATTATTTTTGTTTGTTTGTTTGATAACTGTTTCTCTTTTTTGCAAAGCACCCGCCGCTGCTCACCAGGGCAGCTCACCTCTCTGCTCTCAGCCAGCACCTTTTCCACAAGAAGTCAGCAGTCCAAGGGACCGGAGATGTTCAATGTTTATGGCAAGTAGTTGGATGTCTTAAAACATGCTGCTGGGGAAGCTCTGCATCCAGCACGGTACTGAGCCAGCGCCGCCGCATGCTGTGCTTGCTGTGGGCTCTGCTGCTGCTGCTCATCCTCAGCTGCACTTCCATCACGTGCCCCGGGCTGAGTTGCTCAACAGAGCCATAAAGTCAATGTTCATGAAAGAAGTTCCTCCTCTCCCACGTTGGGCAAGTCGTTGCACTTCAGATTATCTTCACTGCCTTGTTTCCTGTTTTAAAAGGAAATGAACCAGTTGCTGAGCAACTCAGAAGAAGGCAAAGCAGATAATGACACCAGCATCTTTGATGACACCTTTTGATTACACCCTTCCCCACCATGGGACCTTTGGGACCCTGAGCACTTGTGCATGTCCCACTCCCAGCTCACCTGTAGCAGGCTGGAGGTGCTATAAAAAGTTGCTTCTCAGCCCATGGGAGGGGCAGGATGTGCCATGCCCCAAAAAATCATCCCACGGAGTGGTTATAGGTCTGACAGAGGGCAAGCAAACACCCCAGTCATGGCCCTACATGAAAGATCCAAAGCCCAACTCCTCAAATTCTCCTCCTGTGCTTTGCAGGGATTTTCAGACAAGCTGCAAAGATCTCCTGGGGCCAGGGTGATGTAACTTACGGCAGCAGGTTCCCAGGGGCAGACAGTGACCGCTCCTCCCTCTTGCTCCCTTCAAACGGGTTCCCAAAGGATCGCTTCCGGATCATCGTTTTAACCAAGATCTGCAAGACCAGATTGGAGTTCACTTTCCTCCCATTCAAGAGCACCAGCAGCATCCAACCCCTCATGCCCAAGTAATACAGAAAGCTAAAGAAAACAAGTCAAAGTTCTCTTTAGGAAAACAAAACAAACAAAAAAACTTGGCACCCAAAGGCATCACTAGATTTCAAACCCAAAAGGATCTCACTTTCCACACAGGGCAGGGTTACACTGTGGTTCTCACCACTACAGTGGGTTGCAGAGAATAAAAATATCAGCTTGAAAAGAGATGAGATGAATTCACCAAGCATGGCTGCAGGCAGGGGCTGGTGCACACCATGGCCCAGATAAAATCTCCATCCTGGGAAGCTCCAGCAGCCCCTATGCCCAGGCAGAGCAGGGCAGGAGCTCCTCATGCCTGACCAGAACATTCACCCCCAGCTGTGGACAGGTCCTGGACCAGAGCAAACACAGTGATATTTAGGCAGCCAGCTCGAGCGTGGAGACCAGCACCCCACTATGGGTCCCTCTGGGGCTGCTCTGAAACATTCCCCCACACAGTGGGGTACAGCCACCTCCAGCAAGATGCTGAGACCCCATCTTGCAGCACTTGCTTCCAAGAGAGGGAAGGTCTTTGCTTTAATCCTACCCAAAGCTTTTGCTCTTCAGCAGCAACCTCCAGCTGCTCAGGACCACCCTGGGGAGCAGCATGGACCATCCACAGACCACCACACCTGCCATACTCACCACTGTGGCCAGGCTGGGGATGTGCTTGACCGAATTCTCCACTTCCTCCTCTGTCACCTCGACCAGGGTGCAGTTCTCATCCTCCGTGGGCAGCAGCTCCGCTCCGTTCTTGGTGACCCAAGGGTGCAACTTCAATTAATAACACAGCCTGTCAGGAACGATTTCCTCTTTTTCATAACTCAAACAACACAAGCCTGGCAAACGCATCTCCTTGCCCCAGCTATGGCCCCTACATGCTCCTGCAGTACCAGGGAGCTGGGGAGAGCTGTGCCATCCCTGCGAGCCAGTTCACCACGGCGCCACCAGGAACAGCTCACCCCGGAGCAGAAAACGTTGTGGGGTGGCTCATCCAGATCCAGCTCTGGCCTCATCCACACAACTGAGCATTAACCTCGGTGACCTACAGCACTGGGCATCTCAGATGGTTTTAGGGGAAAAAAAAAAAGACCTATTTTCACTCCCATCTTACAGATGAGACAGCACCAAGAGGCAGGAGCCATTTATTCCAGACCATACGTATGAGCAGCAGTGATGGGGAGAACCCCCCAAGCCCTGCCCTCAGAGCTGAATTAATCCAGGACAGGAGGCAGAAAGCCCTCTTCCTCCTTGCCCACACACCTGGCATCTTGGGTGGCTGCAGGAGAAGGACAAAATGGTTCAGCAATTCCCCCGCAATCCTTTCTCCCTACCTTAGTCTCCATTTTCTCAGCTTCTCGCCCCTTCCAGGCTCTCGCAGGGGCGAAGGACCAGAAATCTCCTGCGAAAGGCTGTTGCACAGTACTTTCCTGGTAGCAGAGGAAATACTGTACTCAGGGGATTTCCTTTTGCCTGTGACTTCTGTAGGCACCAAAGGTCCCAAAGCTGAGCAGGTCCCGGAACGGGGGAAGGAGCTGGGACTTACCTGCCCAGGGGCCCTGGGCACAGGGGAGGACCTAGCCTGGCGCGATCAAACTGACTCCCAAAAAGAAAGGTGACCAAGGAGAAAGAAACAGAAGTGAAGCCACAGCCAACACCAAGGGGTTGGGTCAGTACCTTGATTTCTGGGACCGAAATCCTAGATTCGGGATTTTTATCCAGCATCCGTGAAATCAAGTCCTTCAAGAAGTCTGTAACTTCCGGCCTGGGGAGAGACAAGATGGGGAAGGGGATGGCTTCTGCCTCCCCTCCTCACCCAGAACTCACCGCCATGGGCAGACAGGGGCTGGACCTCAGCCCTGGTGGGGATGCAGCTCCAGGTGCTTATGCACCCAGCTGCCACACAGGCCCTCCTCCCAGAATTCCCCATAAAAGTAAAATAACTCCTTTTTGGGCAATTTGAAGCATGATCCCATGTGTACAGGGCTGGGAGAGCCTGACACCAACTCCACCCAGGCAAAAACCCAGTAGGCAGCAACTGCAGAGGTTAATCTGTTCCCTTAAACACCTCTGCAACTTCAATCACTCCTTCTTCAGCAACTGCAAACAGAGAGATGTTGCTTTTATGTTTGATGCAAAGGAAATTTTCCAGGGCTGAGGTCCAACAAAAAGGTTCAGAGCTTGAGTTTTGCAAAACCTCAGCAGAGCAGGGCCAGTCCCACCCAGGCAGTGCCTGAGAAAGAGCTCAAAGGAACTTTAAAATTAAGGGCTGAGGGTTGTTTTTTGTTGTGGTTTTTTTTGTGGGTTTTTTTAATACTTACTGGTCTGGGAACTCCAATGTTTGTGTCTTGATTTTATTGTGTAAACTCAGGATCCTTTCATCCATAAAAGGGCACTGCCACCAAGAGAAAGAGCAATGAGAAGAGCAACAACCTCAGTTAGAAAGGAGCAGGGAATGACCCAGTTGAGCATCAGGATCAAGTAGGGCTTGAAAAGAGCAAGGAGCCATTTACAGGGAAACACCAGAACATCTCCTACTATGTCAATGTCTTCTTTTAACACAAGGAATATAATATTGATTAAAAATGACAAAACTATTACAATAGCTCCTTTCCTAAAAAATCTGGCCAGACAGGTGTTTTTTTTCCCCTAGAGAAAGAGAAATTCAGTGCTTTTTAGCTGCACCCATGGACAGGCAGAGGTTTCTCATTTCCACCCACACATCCCTGTCTCCCCTCGCCAATCCCTGACTGCTTGAACAAGGGTGCAGGGGGCAAATCCCACTGGGACAGGAGGCATGCACCAAACCTCCCCGGGACCACCAACAGCCCTGAAAACTCAATCTCCTTACCTGCCCAAACACGAAGCAGTACAGGGTGATCCCCATGGCCCAGACATCCAACGCCTGCAGAGCGAAGGAAGCACAGTTAGATCTGCAACAGACTGTGTGGGCATGGAAGATCAGTCCAAAAAACCCTCTTAATTGCTAATAAATACCTTTCCAGAGAAGATTTTCCTGGTTTCTGAGAGCGTTTCAGGGGCCATGAAGGCAGGGGTGCCCACTGTGTTGGTTAAGAGGGCATCAGCTCCCTTGAACTCATTGCTCACTCCAAAGTCAGCAATCTTGACGTGCCCGTCTTCCCCCACGAGGAGGTTGGAAGGTTTAATATCCCGGTGGATTATCTTTTGATAGTGCACTGCAGCCAAAGGGAAAGAAAGTGATCCAGCAGCAGAGAAGGAACCACAAAACCCCCCACAAACGTAAGACTTTCTGCCAAAACCACAACCAGCCCCAGCTTCAAAAACCCCTGTGCAGTGGCATGAGCCACCTGAAATGGCACCACACAGCAGCAGAAAGTCCAGCCCCAGAAATCAGGAATCCCATCTTTTTTTTGCACAGACACTCACAGTATTCAATGCCCTTGATCAGATCCTGGAAGTAGAACCGAGCCTGGTCCTCACTGAGAGGTTTCAGGGTTGGGATTTCCATCACAGGGCTATGAAAGCAACAGAATGGAGTTTGTTTCCCCACCTGGATGCAGCAAAACAGGTCCCAGGAGCTGTGCCACCCGCTGGTGACAGCCCACAGCCCCAAACACAGGCACAGAAAGGGTGTACACGACTATACCTGGGCTGGGGAGATGCTACCCAGCCCTGGAGGGGATCCACCATGAACCTCCCCATGGCCTCTGGGTTCTGTGCCTGCCTCGGGCAACAGAGCTGTCCCACCCACAAACCCTTCCCACGTTCATGCCTTAGTAGGTTTAAATCTGGAATCCAATACTCACCCTTGCTTCACCAGCTCAAACACTGAAACACAAAAGAGAAGGTGGTTACGCATCACTTACAGGTTAGAGCTCCTGTAAGCACAGTCTCAACACCAAAAGCAATGGTTCTAATGACAAAAATTCTAAAAATAATGTATTTTTTTAAAAAAGGAGATGCCATCTTTGGTTGCTTTCACTTGCAATTAAGGGGATGCTGCCAACTCCCTTCTCAGTGCAGCAGCTTCAGCATCACCAAGTGCCCTTCACACTCCCCTGCAAAGCCCTAGCTAAGCCCAGACCATGAACCAACCTCTGCACTTGGCCATAAAGACATCACACCCTCCTCCACCAGGCCAGGCTGAGCATAAGTGATGATGGCAAAGAATTCTCTCTTCCAAAAACCTGTGTATTTACATCAAGCAAACCACTGCAGGCTGGAGGGCAGGTCAGGAAGGAGCTCGTTTGCACCATGGATAATTAACATGTGCCTTGCTTTTGAAGCCAAAGAAACAAAGCTACTTTCTTGCAGCTGAGAACATAAATGCTGGTACCTCTCAGGGCAAAATTTTTTAATTAAAGCCTATAAAGTGCTATCAAGCACTATAAAACACTCCTGTCTGCTTTGTGAACCCCAACTGGACTCCTTTTGTTCTGACTATTAGGGGGGATTTGCTCCTCCAGCACATCCAGGCCATACTCTGGAGGAGAGACCCCACCATGCAGGGGGACTCCCTTGCCCCCAACCCCCCTGACTGCAGGAGGGTGGGCACTTACCCATGTACAGGTGGTCCTCACTGGGATCATCCAGGACCTGCCAAAAGAAACAGAAAGGAAATCAAACAGTACCAAAAAACTTTGCAAATTAAACCCTGAAATTTTTTTGTTATTTAGCAGCCATCCCAGCTCTGACACCATCTGCACCACTGCATGGTCTGCTCCCCACATGGGGTGGGGGAAGAAAAAGAGGGCAGAGATATAGCTGTACTTTGAGGAAGTAAATATTTAAAACACACAGGAAGCACCATCTGACTCATGAGCCAAATAAACTCCAGCCTGCATGTCCTTAATCCTTCATTTTTGGGCTGCTTTCACGCAGCCAGTGGGTGGAGGGCAGGGCAGCTGCACCACAGAACCTGCAGAAACACCAGATCCTCCCCCAAACCCATCTCAGTGCTTGTTTCCTCTAAGAAGCAACATTTTCCTGCATTTCCCTTTTTGGGCAGAAAGAAAAAAAAATATCCTTTTGGGATACGGGAATAAAAACCCCCAGTTTTAAACTGGGGAAAACACCAGTCTCCCATAGGCAGGACCTGCCACAGCCATCCCAGCCCCTCTGCAGTCACTCCCCTCTGCCCAAGCCAACATGTAGCCTAACCCCACAGAACCCAGGCTCCTTCACCCTCAGGGTGGGTTTTGGGAAGGGGTTTGCTGGCACTCACCTCCACCAGCTTCACCACGTTGGGGTGGTCCAGCTTCTTCAGGATGGCAATCTCCTGGTAGACCTGCTCGATGGGGCCTTTGGGCTGCAGGCAGCCCTCAGAGGCAGCTTTGGCACCACGGGGTGGTGGGCGGCCTGCAGGAAGGGCAAAGAGGGGGGGGTCTGGCTGGGAACGAGCCCCCAGGGTCCCTAAATCATCTCCCACCCTAAAGCTTTTGCACCACTTACGGGGGAAGCCCGCCTGTCTCATCAGCTTCTTTTTGGAGAGAACCTTCATTGCCTGCAAGTGGGGAAAAAAAATTAGGATTTGGGACAAATCAAGGATAAAATAAGGCCAGTGGGATGGAACCAGCACAGAGCTGGGCAGGGAGTCTGTGGGAGGGATCTGTCCCTGTCCCCCATCCCACCCTCCCCACTGTGGGTTCTGGGGACACATGCTACTCACATAGTAGGTGTTATCATCCTCGTTGTAGGCCAGCTTCACCACCCCGTAGGAGCCCTGGAGAGGGGCACAGCCACAGGGAACAGTTAGGGACAGTCCAAAAAAACCCCCAGCACCAAACTGGGCTCCAGGCTCCTCCACAGCCCAGGTCCCACTGGGACCACGGAGCTGTCAGGGGTAGTGGGACACACAGGCTGGCAGCACAACACCAGCAAAGAAAAGCTTCAGATGCCCCATATTGTGGGAAGGAGGGGGGAGTTGCCATCACACAGGCCTGACAGCAAATGCCATCCCAGTGCCCTCCCCAGATCCCCCCATCCCACCCCAAACCCCACCAATACTCACCTTCCCGATCTCATCCTTCAGCTTGTACTGGTTGAGCTGCACACAGTCCTGTGGGAAAAGAGGAGGGGTCCGACGCCGGCCTCCAACATGCTACTCACATAGTAGGTGTTATCATCCTCGTTGTAGGCCAGCTTCACCACCCCGTAGGAGCCCTGGAGAGGGGCACAGCCACAGGGAACAGTTAGGGACAGTCCAAAAAACCCCCCAGCACCAAACTGGGCTCCAGGCTCCTCCACAGCCCAGGTCCCACTGGGACCACGGAGCTGTCAGGGGTAGTGGGACACACAGGCTGGCAGCACAACACCAGCAAAGAAAAGCTTCAGATGCCCCATATTGTGGGAAGGAGGGGGGAGTTGCCATCACACAGGCCTGACAGCAAATGCCATCCCAGTGCCCTCCCCAGATCCCCCCATCCCACCCCAAACCCCACCAATACTCACCTTCCCGATCTCATCCTTCAGCTTGTACTGGTTGAGCTGCACACAGTCCTGTGGGAAAAGAGGAGGGGTCCGACGCCGGCCTCCAAACCCCTCCCATTTGCTCTTCTCCTTTCCCATCTCCAGCAAAGCTTTCCCTCCAGCCTCCCCCCCGCTCCTTTGCTCCATGACCCACCAGCAGCTCAGCCACGCGTCGGCGTCTTTATAAGCCACTAATTGCACATGTTAATGGCAGGGCAGGCAATGGTGCCTGCTCAGGTGGAACGGGAGCAGGGCAGGCGGGTGCCCCGGGGGGTGGGTAACACCAGCGACAGGTATTTGTATTTCTCACGGGCTAAACAGCCGCTGCTGCCTGTTTTCTGGCAGGGTGGGGGAGGGCGGGCCCTTTCCCCCTCCGGGTGCAGGG